GTCAAATGAATCTCCTCCACTGACCCTACACATTTTTTCTCAGAGGTGGATGGTCAAGGAAGCCCCCCACCCTTAGTCCCACAAAGGGGCAAAGATTAGGGCAAGGGACAAAGGGATTTGGAGCTGCAAGGCTAGGTGCATGGCTATGGCTATTCTCTGTCACTTGTTAGCTAAGTGATCTTAGGGAAGTCATTTAACCCCTTTGAGCCTCAGTTTCCCTATCTGTAAAGTGGGAAGAGCACTACACTCAAAGCCAGCCGGTGCTTGCTCAGTCACCAGGCCGGGGCTTGGGTCCCCTTCCCACTCAGCCAGGCCTCTCTGGAGTCACCATGATCCACAGCTGGTTCACCTCCAGTGTCTTCCAGTACGCCCTGGGGGTGCCTGCCCTGAAACCCCAGGCCTCTGACAGCTCAGAGGAGGCCGACAGGATGCAGAGGTGAGTGGGCCCCACCCAGCAGGCTGCCAGAGGGCTGTGTTCTCTTCACAGGGGAGGCCAGTCCTCCGTCCCACCCAGAATCCCCTTCTGGTGGGCAGATCTTGGCAGGCCAGGGTCCCTTTCCTATCCCCACCCTCTGGGCCTGCTGGCTCACCCCATATCTGAGGTCCTGTCTTCTGTGCTGAGACACAGAAGGAACAGGGCTCACCAGCGAGTCCCCAGGGAAGACTGGAACCCAACACCCCAAGACCCAGCACAGGGCTTTCCCAGATGTTTGGACACACATCTGGGCATGACCTCTCCCTGCTACCACCACCCCTAAAGGCTCCCTTTCTCCCACAGGTTCCTGAGCACACAGGTGGGGTCAGCCATCCTCTCCTCCGAGGTGTGGGACGCTGTCGGGGAGGTCAGCACGGCTGTGACCTTCCACCTGCAGCACCAGGCCCAGGTACTGGTGGTCCTTCTGGGGAAAAGCCCCAGGCATGCTTGCTCCAGTTCTCCACCCAGCCCCCCAATATTGTTCACTGGACGACCAAGGTCTAGACACACCCAAGAAACAATATTCCCCCCGGGAACGGTCCCCGCCGTCCTCAAGGGAATGGGAAGGGAAGCCGAGGATGGTGAGCTCTCTACCTGCCGGCCACCTCCGATAAGCAGCGTTCATTCCACCCTCCAGCTGCTTCCTGTGGCCCTCGGGAGAGGCCATGTGATTGGCCTCAGCCTTAAATGGCAGGTGGGGTTCATTCCAGAGCTGTGTAACTTGAAGAACCAAATCACGCTGGTCAGCCACTGAAGCGTGTGCACGGGTGACGTTCAGGGTCTTCCCTGCAGTGTGCATCATGGGAATGAAAACAGACCCCTCTGGGGGTGCAGCTCAGTGGTAGGGTGCTTGCTTGCCAGGCACGAGGCCCTGGGTTCCACCCTCAGCACCACAGAGAACAAGCCACCTCCTATGTCAATCTGTAGTGCACCGCTTAGAAAGCCCCAGGGAGCTGCCCACAGGACTGGTCGGCCGGCGTGACATAAAGAGCGAGGTATTCCTCTATTAGCTGACACAGAAAGATCTCCAAAACTTGTCTTTTGATTTTATCCACATGTAATTTCCAGACATCTACTTCTCCCTTTTGAAATATCAGAATATTTCAGAGAAAGCTTTCGTCTCCCTTGCTTACAACCAGTAATTCTGGACGCACACATTCCACAGTTTACTGTTTTTGCATACCCTCCCAAGACTTTTGAGCAATCAGTTTGATTAAAGTGTCCGTCGTCCCTTAGCATCCATGAGGAACTGGTTCTATGACCCCCTCGATGATGTATCAAAATCCAAGAATGGGGGCTGGGGTTGTGGCTCAGTGGTAAAGTGCTTGCCTGGCACGTGGGAGGCACTGGGTTTGATCCTCAGCACCACATTAAAAATAAACAAAAAATAAAACAAAGGAATTGTGCCATCTACAACTAAAAAAAATTTTTTTAATCCAAGGAAGCTCAAGCTGAAATAATAGTTGCAATAACCGACATAAATCCTTTCATACACTTTAAATCACTTCTAGATTATTTGTAATACCTAATACAATGTCACTGCTACATAAATGGTTGTTATTATAGTGTATAGTTTAGGAAATAATGACAAGAAAAAAGTCATGTTCAGTACAGATGCAATTAAAAAATATTTTCCATACACAGTTGAACCTGAGGATACAGAGGCTGGAGGGTATAGAGCATGCAATCTGACAAACCTTGACCTCTGTGTGTTCCCCTGTACCACTACCCCAGTCAAGGTACACAACACTTCCAACTTCCCAAAAGGCTTCTTTGGGACTCTCTTGTGCCAGTCAGTTGTCCATACCAGGATGTCACTGCTCTGCTTTCCATGACCATGGATCATGACTGCCTTTGCTGGAGCTTCATACAATGCAATCACTGTATGCGTTGAGGTCTGGATTCTCTTGCTCTCCTTTTTACTGCTGAGTCGTATTCCACCACACTGGCATATTAGCATTTGTTTTTCCGTTTGAGCTCTTGTCCGTGAATCTGCTATAAGGACTCACATACAGGTCTTTTTTGCAAACATGAGATTTCTTTCTATTGGGTACATTCCAGAAAGCCAGCTTGCTGGGTTGCATGATAAACACATCTTAACCTGCTAAGAGACTGTCAACCTGTTGTGCCCAGTGTTTGTGCCATTCATGTTCCCATCAGCAACATGAAAGTTCCATTTGTTCCACTTCTTGGCCAGCATCTTTTCTTCCCCTTCTTCCTTTCTTCTTTCTGTGGTCCTGGGGGTTGAACCCAGGGGTGCTCTACCGTTGAGTCATACCCCCAACCCTTTTTGCTTTTTATTTTGAGACAAGATCTTACTAAGTTGCCCAGTCTGGCCTCAAACTTGCAATCCTCCTGCCTCAGCTTCCTGAGTCGATAGGATTACTGCGCCCAACCTGTCAGCCTTCTTCCTGGTTATATATTGATACCTCATTATGTTTTAAGATTGCAATTCCTTGAAGACCAAAGATTTTGAGCATCTTTTCATAGACATGTTGAGCATTCATATATCTTTTGTTAAATGTATGTTCAAATCTTTTGTTCTGTTATCAAATTATAAGATTTCTTTATATATTCTGGATATAAATCCTTTTTCAGATATGTGTTTTGTGAATATTTCTCCTAGTATACAGCTTGTCCCCCTCCCCTTTTTTTGGTACCAGGGATTGAACCCAGAGTCACTCGACTACTGAACCACATCCCCAGCCCTATTTTGTATTTTATTTAGAGACAGGGTCTCACTGAGCTGCTTAGTGCCTTGCTTTTGCTGAGGCTGGCTTTGAACTTGTGATCCTCCTGCCTCAGCTTCCCGAGCTACAGGCATTACAGGAGTGTGCCACCACACCCAGCTTCATGCTTTTGTATTCTAAGAAAGCATTGCTAATCCTCATTGTAGCTTCTATATGCAGGTCTTTTGTTTCAGTTAATTTCTGTTTATTAAGCAAGTTAAGGATCAAAGTTTATGTCTCCCTTATGGATATCCAGTTCCATAGAAAAGATAGAAAAGATTCTATCCCCTATTGATTATCTTGACATCTTTGTTGAAAATAGATTGTCCAGATATGTGTATATTATTTCTATGCTCCTTATTTTGTTCCATTGACCGTATGTCTGTCCCTGCACTAATCCCATACTGTCCTGATTAATGAGTCTGTAGAATAAATTACAGTCAGGTAATAGAAGCCCTTCAACTTTTTATTTTTTTCAAATTTGCTTTGGCTATCCTAAGATGTTTACACTTCCAAAAAAATATTAGAATTGGCTTGTCATTATTGATGGAAAAAAATCTTTTGGGATTTTTGACTGAGATTTCATTGAATCCATATTATTGAGTTGAGAGAACTGGTATCTTAGTAATGAGTCTTCTGATTCATGATCAGGGCTTAACCCTCTATTTATTTAGGTTAAATTTCTCTCAGCATTGATATACAGTTTCAAGTGTGCAGCTCTTGAAGATATCTTGTTAAATATATCCCAAAGTATTTCATATTTTTACATGTGAATTGTTTTCTTAATTTTATTTTATTTATTCATTCATTCATTTGTTCATTGTTCAGTGCTGGGGATCAAGCCTGGAGCCTTCCAAATGCTAGGCAGGTGCTATACTACCGCACCTCCTTGATTTAATTTTAACTTAATTTAATTGTAAATTAATTTTAAAATTAAAATTTAATTTTAAAAGTTTCATTTTTTGTAGTTGTAGATGGAAAGAATGCCTTTATTTTATTTGAGACAAGATCTTGCTAAGTTGCCCAGTGGTACTGAGGATCAAACCCAGTGCCTCATGCATGCTAGGCAAGTACTCTGCCACTGAGCTACAGCCTCAGCCCTAAAATTTATTTTTAAATCCTTCATTGCTAGTATATAGAACACAATTGCTTTATATAGGAATACAATTGGCACAATGACATTGTACCCTGAAACCTTGCTGAATTCACTTTGCCTTTCTAGTAGCTATCTTCTAGAGTCCTTGGAATTTTTTATATTGATCTTGTTGTCTGCAAAGATAGTTTTGTTTTCCCCTTTCCAATCTATGTCATTTTCCTTTTCTTGTCCTATTGCAATGGCAATAATTTCTAGTTCAGTGTTAATAACAGTAGTGAGGTCAGGATCCCTGTGTTGTTCCCCATCATAGAGGCATAGCATCCAGTCTTTCACCATGTAAGTGTGATGTTAGCTCTGAGGTTTTATAGATGCCCTTTATTGGACTAATTTCTCTGCTTTTCTGGCTTGCTGAGAATTTTTATCAGGAATGGTTCTGAATTTTGTCAAATGCTTTTCCCACTTTGACATGATCCCATGGTTTTCTCTTTTATTATGTTAACGCAGTAAATTGCATCAGTTGATTTTCAAATGTTAAGCCTATCTTGGATTCCTGGGATCAACTCCCCCTAGTTATGGTGTATTATCCTCTGAATAATTGTTGGATTAAATTTCTAATATTTTGTTAATGATTTTTGGGTTTATGTTCATGAATAATGTGTTCTGTAGTTTACTATAATATGATTGTTGTCAATCATAGTTACCTTACTATGCTACATAAAACATTAGATTTTCTAGTATTCCTATCCACCTATACTCCTACCCAACTATCCTCCTGTACCTGCTAACCATCTTCAAAGGACTAACTTTTGAGATTATATTTATGTATTTTATTAATATGACTTAAAAATAAAATATCCTCATTGTGGCAAGTTTGGGAAATGTAGAAAAGGATAAAGAAGACTAAACATGATTAACTAAACACTATTACTCAGATATAACCAATATGAACATTTTGGTGTATTTACCTTTAATCTTTATCTGGGCATACAACACAATTATTATTATTATTTTTTTTTTTGGTTGTCAATGGACCTTTATTTTATTTATTTGTATGTGGTGCTGAGGATCAAACCCAGTGCCTCACACATGCTAGGCAAGCGCTCTGCCACTGAGCCCTAGCCCCAGCCCACAACACAATTACTTTTTTTTTTTTTTTATGAAATTGTGCATATGACCGAATTGCATTTCTTTTTTTTTTTAATATTTTATTTATTTTTTAGTTTTCGGCGGACACAACATCTTTGTATGTGGTGCTGAGGATCGAACCCGGGCCGCACGCATGCCAGGCGAGCACGCTACCGCTTGAGCCACATCCCCAGCCCCACAATTACTTTTTAAAGGTGAAAAAAATATATACTTAGAATCAGCCAGCTGGACTCAGTTTAGATGACCCCATTTTGTTGGTGACATCCAGAGCATGTCATCATCAGGAGCTGGTTGAACACACACCTTATCAGGCCGGCCTGACCAGGATGTTGACCTTGGCCACATCCTTGTCACAGAGCTTCACCTCCATCTGGCGCTCGCTGGCCTTGACATTCACAGTGCGCACAGTGTCTGTAGTCTTCTCTCGTCCTCGAAGAAGGCTCCATGGTCAGGGCAGCTTGAGGCTGCATGGTGATCAAGTTGGGTCCTCGGGCGAGCGCTCTTCTGAGGATGTCAGCTGTCGCCAGAGCGGCAGCGTCTTAGGCTGCCAAAAGATGTGCACCTCTCTTTTGTGCCCAGGGATACCTTGCGGCACTGCCTTCTTGGCCTTCAGAGTGTGACTGTCTTTGCCTTGGAGAGGGAGGAGCGCCCTTCTCCACCTCAGACGCCATCTTAGTGAAAAGGTCCACTATGAATATTTCTTTCCTTTTGCAAAACCAAGGACCTTGCTCTCTCAACAGAGCCAGCCAGCGGTTGTGGGTTGGTTTGTCATTCTCTGCAGCTGTTTTCTGCATTGTCTCAGTCACAGGTGGCCCTTCACCGACCTGTCACTTGCTGCTCAATCCTCGCATGGGGAGGCCTGGGCTGTTGTGGGCTCAGAACCCACAACCACTCTCTTCTGCAGGGAATGGTCCAGAGTGAGCATGATCCTCCCCTAAGCCCAGGAGCCCTGCCCCACCCTGCACACATCTTCTCTCATAGTCAGTTTGATTCTGGTGACTGCTTCCTGGTGTGAGGGCATGAGACACAGATAGTCTTGTCCTTTATTTAAAAAAATATTTATTTTTTAGTTGTAGCTGGACACAACACCTTTATTTCACTTGTTTATTTTTGTATGTGGTGCTGAGGATCAAACCCAGGGTCTCCCACGTGCGAGGCGAGTGCTCTACGGCTGAGCCACAACCCCAGCCCAAGTCTTGTGACTTTTGAGTGCACAGCTACGTTTATATTTCAGTTTGCACCCCTTGAAAATGCCACCAGTCATACAATAAGAACCCATTTTTGAAAGTATAGGGTGGCTTGATTTGTGTTCTTGGTCCAGGGAAAAATACTATGAATGGATACACAGGACGAGACTTTAGCCAAGTCAACCCAGGAAACAGTAAGTTCTCTGGAGCCTTCATCACAAAGTGGGAAAAGGGCCATTGATCAAGCCGAGGCCCAGTCTCAGCTCCATGCCGAATGATCTGGAGCAAACTAAGCCCCCTCTCTGAGCCTTGGTTTCCTCATCTGAAATGACATATTCTTATCCTATCTCCTAGGTTGCTGTGACAATCAAATACAATAAAGGACATGAAAGTGCTTGGCAAAACACCAAGTGAGGTGACATTGCTGTTACCTTTCCCAGTCAGGACAAACAGCCCAAGTCCCAAGCAGACTGCCCTTACTGCTTGGACTAGGGTTAATACTAGAGGCTGCCTGATCGCTTTTTACTGCTTATTGACATCTTATAAAATCTATATTGTTGCCAGGCCTGGTGGCACACGCCTGAATCCCGGCTACTTAGGAGGCTGAGGCAGGAGGATTACAAATTTAAGGCTAGTCTCAGCCACTTAACGAGACTTTGTCTCAAAAAATAAAAGGGTTAAACCCTTGAGTTCAACCCCCAGTAGTGCCAAAAAAGAAAGAAAAAAAAATAACTATATTGTTGTCCTTGTTCAATTTCACAAGAGCTAACATGTTCATTATAATGCATTCGAGATCTGACCACCGTTAGATCAGCTGTGTGTTTTCACAGGACGCACAGCTTAATTCTGTCCCAAGGTGGCCTCATGACACCGAGCTGCATCATGTTCTGCAACTTTTTCTTAACTGAACAACAAATCATGGAGGTCTTTCTGCATCAATAAATAGAGACGCCTTGATCTGACAGTCACGGAGCACCCTGGGAGGGAGGAGTCACCGGTGTGACCTGCTCCCCAGGATGGCCGCCGTGCCTTCCCTTCTGCCCTGCACCAGTGTTCCTCTCCACACTGGACAGCCCTTGGTCCCCAAAACACAGAGTCCTCAGCATCTGCTGTCCCGCTCCATCCTTCTGGCCTCGCCCTCCTGACACACTTGGGCCCTGTGCCCCACACATGTTCATGCACGGCCCGTCCCTGTGTCCTGTCCAGGCCTTCCCTCAGAAGCTGGTGGAGCCCGTCTGTGCTTTCTGGAACTTCAGCATCAGGTGAGTGTCCACTTCCACATTTTTAAAATACAGTCTTAAAAAAAAGAGAGAGAAAGAAAAAGACATCTACTCTGCTTGCAAATTAGGCAGGACCCAAGTGTAATTGGGGCCTCCAAAAACTGCCTTGTGGGGAGATTCCAGGCCCCACCCAGCTCCAGGGCAAGCTGGGGCAGGAGAATGCGTTTCCCAGCGGGTAGTGAGCTCCCCCTTGTGGAAGGTGTGGGAGGGAGGCCACACTCACCCTGTGAGGTGCCAAGGAGACTTGTCTGTTAAATGAGTGTCAGACTTGGGGCCAGGCCCAAGGTCACTGAGAAGAGAGGAGGCTGCAAGGATTAGCACCAAGATCCCGTGCTGGACCTTTACCTGAGGGAGTGGAAGCAGTGACACCTGCTTGGTCATTAGGGTGATCCCTGGTCTCAGCCTGTCCCCTACCCTCCCTGAGATGGTTAAGCACATTCGGTTAAGGCCCAGGGGGGGCAGTGGTAGGTCACAGTCACACAGCCAGCTAAGGGCAGGGCAGCAATGGACCCCAGGCTCTGGGAGGCTCTCCTCTGCCTGCTCCCTGAGGCCCCCCATGTCCACTGGGTCTCAACAGCCCTCTGTTCCCTCCCCACCCCCAAGCCCACACACAGGGGGTTCCTGGGCCACCGCGGGCTGCTCCGTGCTCTCCCTGTACCAGGACTCCACTGCCTGCTTCTGCAACCACAGCACCAGCTTCGCTGTCCTGTTGCAGGTGTACGACATCCAGGTGAGTGCAGGGGGGAGGGGCAGCAGGGGTCTTAAAGGATGAACAGGAATGACGCAGAAGGGCAGGGGGAGGGGTCCCAAGCACAGGGAGGAGGGGACCCCCACTGGACAGAGGGAGGAAGGCAGGTCAAAGACCAAAGTCTGGCTGGGCCCAGTGGCGAACGCCTGGAATCCCAGAGCCTCAGGAGGCTGAGGCAGGGGGATCGCAAGTTCAAAGCCAGCCTCAGCAATGGAGAGGCACTAAGCAACTCAGTGAGACCCGTCTCTAAATAAAATACAAAATAAGGTATGGGATGTGGCTCTGTGGTGGAGTGCCCCTGAGTTCAATCCCCAGTACCAAAAAACCAAAACCAAAACAAAAAGTCTGGACCACTGGAAATGGGGGGCTTGGCCCTGAGAGGGAACAGGTGGGTAAGGGATGGGAGTGGCCTGTGGGTTCGAAGGGGTTTGGGTCTGGTGTTCAGTCGAGTGTCTCTGCTGGAGATGCAGAGCCAGAGGGCAAAGCCAGGGGCCTTGGCGAGGCGGAAGTAAGAGGAGGCTCCGCCAAGAGAGGCCCGAGTCCCTGAATGCCAGCGGGACAGGTTAGGGAGACCAAACTCCAGGAGACCGAGAGGCTGGGCTCCATGGAGCTGGAAAGGACTCCAGGGTCACTTGCTAGGAGGTCAAGTTGGACAGGGCTGGAGCCTCTGGGAGGCCGGGTCACTTGGAGTTTTGGGAATACCCTAGAAAGACATCATCAAACACATTTTTTTTTTCCTATAAAAACACAGCTTGGACATTTCTCCATGTCGCAAACAACCCATCCACAGCCCTGTTTCTTTCTTTATTACAGGGGTACATACCATGGGGGTTGTTGCTACATATTTGAACATACACACCAACATAACAACATAATGGGGCCAGTGTCACTCCAGCTCTCCCCCTTCCCTCCCCCTCTCACCCCTTGGTCCCTTTCCTCTACTGACGTCCCTTAGATTTCCGTGGGACCCGCCCCCACCTTTCTTTACCTCTCTAGCTTCTGCACAGGAGAGAAAACCTGCAACCCTTGATCTTCTGAGTCTGACTTACTTCACGTGACATGATGGTGTCCAGTTCCATCCATTTTCCTGAAAAATGACATAATTTTCCTTATGCCACAGCCCATTCCTAGTGACCATCCCGCGGTACCCATGGCGAGTTGTCTCTCCTGTGGAGTCCCCCCCTCCCCGTGGGCACGTCAGCTGCTTCCAGCTCAGCGCTCTCCACGCTGGCGGACCTGGGCGTATGGGGCCAGGATGGAGAACCAGCAGGAGAGGAGCGTGTGCACATGCTCACTTATTAAGGGCCTACTGTGTGCAAGCCTGGACCTTGAAGGCTGGTGCTGGGAGAGTTTGTTCTCGGTCCGGTGGCAACAGTGTCCTTTCTGTCCCTCTCCACAGAGAGGCCCCGAGGAGGAGTCACTTCTGAGGACCCTCTCGTTTGCGGGCTGTGGCGTGTCCCTGTGTGCCCTTGCTACCACCTTCTTGCTCTTCCTGGCAGCTGGGTGAGGACAGCTCATGGGCCTGCACGGCCTCTCAGTCCATTCCTCTTCCCAGTGGCCTTGGTGGGAGGTCTCCCCTTGGGGCCTGCTGGGTCCCAGGCACAGCCGCCTTCTCTGCTCCATGAGCCCAGCCGCAGGGGACCTGGCAGGATGGGGTCTGAGAGCACTTGGGGACTGTTGTGCTGTCCTTGTTACCAACTCCTCTGCCTATCCAGGGTCCCCAAGTCAGAGAGGACCACAGTCCACAAGAACCTCACCTTCTCCCTGGCCTCTGCTGAGGGCTTCCTCATGGCCAGTGAGTGGGCAAAGGACAACAAGGTGGGCAGACAGCAGATGGACTTGCAAGGGCCCAGGGAAGCAACTAGGGCCCTTTCTGGATTGTCCCCCGCCCTTGACATCTTCAGCTGGCTGCATTCCCCTGGGGAAGAGCTGGCCCAGAGAGGAAAGGTCCTGGGTGGTGGGGCCCAAGGCCTGCCTGGGGCCCTCACCCACTGGCCCCTGTTTGGGTTGTCATGCCAGGCACGAGCGTGGGACCCAGGGTGGGCTGTGCCAGAGCTGACCTCACTGGGGACACTCCACCCTGCCACAGGTGGCATGTGTGGCTGTCACAGCTGCCATGCACTTTCTCTTTTTGGTGGCATTCTCCTGGATGCTGGTGGAGGGGCTGCTGCTATGGAACAAGGTGGTAGCCGTGAGCATGCGCCCAGGTCCCAGGATGAGGCTCTACTATGTCATAGGCTGGGGTGAGACCCCCACTCTCCACTCTTGCTCTGTTCTTCCCAGCTGAGCCCCCACACAGCCTCTGTTGCCACTCAACACCACCTCATGCCCAGTACCACCTAGGCCCATCTCCACCTGGTGCCTGCCACCACCCAGCACCCAGCACCACTCAGCACCCAGTACCACTCAGCACCCAGCTCCCCACACCACTCAGCACCCAGCACCACTCAGTAAAGGATCTCTGATAAGAGCTCAGTTTTCTCAGTTCTCTACCCTACCCCAGTTCCTCTTTTATATATATGGACCTTTATGTGGTGCTGAGAATCGAACCCAGCGCCTCACTCAGGCTAGACAAGCGCTCTACTACTGAGCCACAACCCCAGCGCCCCTGCTCCTCTTAATCCTCCTCCACCTCAACAACCTCAGCTTCCACCTCCAGCCCTGCCCCCAATCCACAACCTGCACCAACTCCCAGACCTAAGCCTTCAACCCGATCTCAGCTTCCCCACTCCCAAAATACTCACGGCTCCAATGCCACCCCAACAGTGCCAGCCCCTAGCCCTGCTCCCCAGTCTCCCCAGGGTCCCCAGGCAGTTGCTACCAGGGCTGTGGCTGCTGCTTGGGGGTAAGAGCTGTACCCTGCAGAGAAGACCCACTCCTCCTTTCCCTAGGCATGCCCGTGGTCATCGTGGCCATCACCCTGGCCCTGAGATCCCATGACTATGTGGCCGCCGGACACTGCTGGCTTGATGTGCACGCAGACACCATCTGGGCCTTCGCGGGGCCGGTGCTCCTCGTGCTGATGGTGAGCTGGAGGGGTGTGAAGGGCGGGCCGCGTTCGGGATGAGAGGACCCCTTCTCCCACTGACGCCAGGTCTCCAGGCCAACACCTACATCCTGTTCCGCGTGGTGATGGTCACCGTGTCCAGCGCCCGCCGCCGTGCCCGCATGCTGAGCCCGCAGCCTGGCCTGCGGCAGCAGATCAAAATACAGATGTGGTGAGGCCCAGCTTGGGAAGGTGGCGGGACAAGCAGAGCCGCCCGAGGCCCACTGGTGTGAGCATGTGTGTGCATCCTGGGGGTGTGGCTGTGTGGGTGTGAGGAGTGCCCGCAGGTATGCACACGTGTCCTTGCTTACGTGTCACACACACCCATGCATGTCATGTGAGGATGGCCATCGATCCAGAGTGACTCAGTGGGACACCAGCCACTGCCATGGGGCTCCCTGTCTGCAGAAGGCACTGATAGCCTTCTAGGGACAAGATGAGGGACCCCAGAATCAGACAACCCCCAGAAGTTCAGGGTGAGGTTCTGGATCCCCACCCCTGTCAAGAACCCCATCACTCTCCCTGCTGGGAAGGGGCCCCTGCCTTCTTCCGCTCCCCTTTCTCCACCAAGGGCAGGCAGCCAAGTCAGGGAGACCCCAAAAAGCCCAGAGCCCGAGGTCTTCCTGGAGAGAGAAAGGGGAAGCCCTTTGGACTCTGTGCACCTGTCCCCTGCCCAGGTCTCCTTCTGGGTACATGCCCCCATTTGTTCAAACCAGGTTTGGTTCTGGGACCCTCTCTCTCCAGTGTCACCATCTGTTCTTCATGCCGCCTCTGGGTATTTGGTAAGGGGCAGCAGAGTCCAGAAGGTTCTAGCTACCCCCAAGTCCTCCCTGGGCTGTGGTCCCTGTCTGCATGTCCCACCTCTCTCCAGGCACTTCTCAGGTGCCACCCTCCCTGAAGGGAGTGCCCCAGCCCCCTCAGCCCTGCCCACTGTCCCACAGGGCCACAGTGAAACCGGTACTGGTCCTTCTGCCCATCCTGGGCCTAACTTGGCTGGTCGGCATCCTGGTGCATCTCAGCCCGGCCTGGGCCTACGTTGCTGTGGGCCTCAATTCCTTCCAGGTACCTCTAGGCTCTGGCCCATCCGGACTGGGGCTCTGACACTCAGGAACCCAGAGGGAACACCTGGTTTGTCAGGCAGGGAGCAGCCCTGGGGCCTGATTCCAGAGTGTGGCTTCTCAACCACTGGGGTGGTCAGGCATGACCACAGAGGGGCCCAGGCATGCTCCTGGGGAGGGTGCCCTGCCCCAGTCACTCACCCACCTGTGCCCTGTGCCGGCCTTCTACTTGTTCCCTTGGAACTCAAATTTGGGGAAGACAGCCAAGATCCAGAATCGGAACTGACATGTTGGTGGGGGCTGAGGCAGGGAGGGGTGGGGGTGCTAGCCCCCTTGTCCTCTCCCCTGGGCCTTGGGACTCCACCACCTGCCAGGCAGGAGTGGAGAGGGAGAGGACAGAAAGGGGACACTGCTAGGGGTCGGTGGGGGCCACACCCAGGGGCACCCTGCATTGCACACTCCTGACTCCAGAGTGGCCACATCCTCCCTCTCCATCGCTGTGGGGGCGGGACCATTGGTCAGGGCCAGGCCCAGCTCTGAGCCCAGGCTCTTGCTCGTGCCGTCTCCTGGCTGTGTCTTGCTCCTGTCACCCCACCTCCAGCCTCTGTCTTCGGCACAACCTCTGCCCTCAGGACAGTGACTGGGACACAGTCCCCCCTGGTGTGGGGATAGGGCTTGACGTCTGTGTGTCTCTGCTGTGACCCGGGGACCACAAGGCAGGAGGCCAGGCTGGGGTGGGGCTGGGCGGTGTCTCAGGGTTTGATTTCGGGTCTGTCCCCAGGGGCCCTACATCTTCCTGGTCTATGCTGCCTACAATGGGGAGGTGAGTCGGGGTCCTAGGGCTGCAGGGAGGTGGGTCACGGTGGGACCTTCAGAACCCTCCCCTACAGGCCCAGTGTGGGGCGCAAGTGTCTGGGGCCTGACCTCTGCACGTCCCCGCAGGTGAGGAGCGCCCTGCAGAGGATGACCGAGAAGAAGGCTGTGGGTCAGGCAGGGCCCAGCGCTGTCACCATCTCCTGTGGGACCTGCTCGGGCCCCTCTAGCCAGCAGCCTCCGGGTCCCTGGGAGGCGCCCCGGACTCCACCAAGAAGACACGTGGCTCTCAGAGGTCAGATCTCAGCACCTTGTGGTCCCCGTGCTGTGGCAGAACAGTGACCATGGCGATCCTATTAGCCCATTTGAAAGACAGGAAACAGAGGCCCTAGACAGTCCTCGAACAAACATGGGCAGGAAATGGCTTTAAGCTGGCTTGTCAAGGGCTGGGGTGTGGATCAGCAGTGGAGCTAGCTACCTAGCGAACCTAGGGCTCCATCCCCAGCACCAGACACATGACTCCTGGGGCCCAGCCAGAGGAGGGGTGGGACTAGCTGGGGTGACCTGAGTGTCCATGCAGGGGGTGTTGGGGGATTGCTGCAGACAGGTGAGTGGATGGGCTTGGGGTTAAATGACCTCACGTCCTGTCTACAGTCCAGTCCCAACCCCCAGCGAGCCCCCTGCATCCCCCTGGGCTTCAGTGTCCTCACCTGGGTAAAGCTTTGAGTGGATTCCTGGACTGTTAGATCATGAGGACCCCACCCAGTGTGGGGAGCAGGGAGAGGGCTTCCTGCTCCGGTCTCAGAAAGCGCCCTGATCCCATGTTCTTCCCCCTACTAGGGATCCACGGCCCCAGAATCCCCACAGCCTTCTCTTCTATTGCAGAACCCCAGAGACCGGTGAGGCTGGGACAGGCCTGGCCCCAGGGGACCAGAAAGTGTGGCCGACAGGGTTGGGAAGCCACAGGGAGTAGGGTCCGGTGGGGTGGGGGCTTCTCCTGGGGTCCTGTCCCTCAGTTGCTGGGCTGAAAGGCCCTGGAGCAGCAGAGAGCTGCAGCCTGTGGGTGGCACAACTGAAGGTCAAGGCCACTGGGGTTGAGGGAGGAGGAGTCACCAAGGTTCCTGGGGGTGGGGGTGGGGTTTCCCAAGGGCAGGGAGGAGGAACCCTGGCCACCCTGTTCCCTTCTCCTCAGGCTGTGGAGCTAACAGCATTCAAGGCTTCAGGTATGGCCACCTTGGGGGGTTCCCCTACCCGTTTTGGGCCTGGACACCCCCTCACCCCCCTTTATCAGGATAGAAGTAATTGGAGAAGCAACCACACCCACCTTCCACAATTTAAGGGGCCCTGACCTCACTCTATTCCCTGATAGTGTCTGAGAGTCTTCCTTTAGGACACTGGACTGTGCAGGGACAAGGCAGAGCTCTTGGGGAGAGGGTCACTTAAGGGTGAGGTTGGAGGAAACCTTCCCAGGCCCGGTCCATCCTGCAGGGGCAGTGAACAAGAAGCCTGCCCTCTGTCCACTCTCCCTGGTCCCCAGTCCTGCTGCCCAGCCTCCTGCTCTGAGGGCCCTTCCAAACCCAGTGAGGGACACTGCTTCCCTCCATGCCTGCAGACAGCCTGGCAAGACTGGGGACATCCCAGGCCAGGTCCAGGAGCTCAGGCTGGCCCCAGGGGAGCTGTCTCTACAGCTCCCTCAGCCTCTCTAAGTCTTCAGTCTCACAAACTGAGGCGGACACTGGCCAGCCTCACACTTTTTTTTTTAATACTGGGGATTGAACCTAGGGGCACTTAACCACTGAGCCACATCACCCCATCCTCAGCACTTTTTTATTTTGAAGCAGAATCTCACTAAGTTGTTTAGGGCCTCTCTAAATTGATAAGGCCAGCCTTGAATTTGTGATCCTTCTGCCTCAGGCTCCCAGGTTCCTGGGATTACAGGCATGGGCTACCACACCTGGCACACACTATTTCCAGCAAGGGGTGAGAAGCCTTTTTCTGGGAGCTCTTACTGGGGCCCAGTGCCATACCAAACCCCAGACATCTTCTCATTTTAATCCAGTGGCCTGGGAAGAGGCTATGCTGCGTTCCTCCCATTGCACGTTGAGCAAACTGAGGCACAGAAGGGAGCAGCACCTAGCTAGAGTCAGAGGCAGAGCTGGGGGCAGGCCTACCCATACAGATGGGAGAACTGAGGCCCTGCCATAGTCATATGAGTGTGAGCCCCAGCACAAGAGAACCCAGGTCTGTGTGACTCTCCAGCTGTGCTCAGTCCCTTGGAGGCTCAGCTTCCCCAGCTGCAAAACGGGCCGGAAGCGCCCCCTGCAGGCGGGTCGAGGGGGAGCAGGGCTGGAGCAGGGCGATCCGAGGGGCGGGGCCTCGGCCCCACGGGCCCCGCCCCCACCCGCACCCGCGGGCTCAGCGCATCTGCGGGAACAAGAGCCGCAGCGCGCCTCTGCGCTCAAGTGACAGCGCCTTTGTCTCTGCTGAATATGTGTGTTGCTAAGGCCGCTCGTAGCAACGGAGCGGCTTCCACCTCGGCCCCACCCTCCGAACCCCAACCTTGGCCTGGTCCCCCCACGCTCCCGCTTCTACCCCTCACCCCAGCCAGCAGCCCACTCAGACAGTGTGCGGGGGAGTGGAGGCTGTAGCGGCGCGCCCCTCCAGAAAGCCCATGGAGCCCGGGGTAACGCAGGTGTTCTCAGGGTGAGAAATCGAGGCTCAGAGGCCATTAAGAGGCTGCCCAGGGTGGCCCAAGCCTGGATTCCCACCCGAGGTCTTCCCCCAGCCTTCCTTCCCAGACTCCTCCCCATCTTAGCGGTTTTGGGTCACTGGGCCGCTTTCCTCCCAGGTTTCTAGAGAGTGTCCAGGGGCTTTCCTGCAAGCCCCTCCCCAGCTCACCTGGCCTGGGGACACCCTCCCAGGACCCCCAATCTGGAAAAGAGGCACAGCTGGCAGCCTCAAGTGACAGAAGAGCAGCCCTGGATCAGCTACTCCCAGCTTGAGTGTGGACCCCTCCTGGGGCTCCCGCTAACCCCAGCATGACCCACTGTCCCCTCTTCCTGAGATTTGTCCCTGTCCACCTATCGCCAGGTTCCGACACGCCCTGCAGTGTCTGGTAATAAACAGTACTGTTGAGATGCTTCCTGTCCCTGTCTGGGGTTCCTCCTGGTCTGGGGAGCAGGAGAAGATTCCAGGCACCCTAGGAAGAGTGAGGGAGTGAGAACAGCTTCCACTTTGGCTTTGGCACTCAGCCTTGTCACTAGGGTGGATGCAGTCAACATTTATTACCACCTGCGCTGGCAGGGCGGAGCCTTTTCTCACCCACAGCTGCGGGTCCTCACCTCTGCCCTGAGACCAGCCTCTCCTGTCTTATGCAGAGGAGGATGCTCCATGATTCAGATCTGGGGTCTCCTGGTCATGTAGTGCAGCGGGCAGCTGCAGGTGGTGTGAGTGGCAGTCTGCTCAGAAGAGCTCTCTGGCAACCACAGCCATCCTGAGGAGGCTGGGGCTTGCTCGGGTCTGGTGGGAGTCATTTTGTGGAATCAGACCCTGCCACCACCCACTGTGCCACCAGGGTCAAGACTCTTCTCCAAGTCTGGGCCTCTTCTTGGGTAGAAAGGTGGAGGAGCGGTGGTTATGTTAGGGCTTAACACCAGGCTTAGGGCCAAGGAGGGCCCAGGGCTGGGACTTGCCAGGCAGAGGCTACCAACACCACCCTCCCCAAGCCAGAATCAGAGCTGCTGTGGGGGCTGGCGGGGCAACAAGGCGGTGGAATTGAACTGGGCAGGGCACCTGGGGCCGTGACTGCCTGCATTTTCGGTGTCCCCTGACTCCTTCCCCTCTCTTTCAGAAGGCTCCTGTCTCCCTTCAACCAATCACAAAGGCTAGGTGGGCACTGCAAAGGCGGGGACCAAGGAGTCCTTTCCAGCCCTGTCCTGTTTCGTACTCTTCCCCCTCACACAAACCCTCTTCACTCTCCAGTCAAACACACCTGCTGACCTCCTCATCCCTTTGCTCTCATGCTATTCCATCTCCCTGGACTGCCCCCAACTTCCTTCGAGCCAGTGAACTCCTAGGCATCCTTCAAAACCCAATTTGAATGACAGCTATAAAGCCTTCCTGTCCCTTCTCCCATCCCCCCAGGAACAGACTCAATCACTTCCTCATCTCATCTGGCTCAGTTACATGAGCCAAATCATCCCATCAGATTACAATCTGAGTAAGACAGTCTCCTCCTCCAACACTGCAAATTGCAGGGGCAGGAGCTGGGGGCCTGCTGCACTTCTACAGGCACCAAGGAGAGGGACCCCTTTATCTTGGCATAAAAGCCCTTACTACCTTGCCCTAGAAGTAGTGCCCTTTTCTAATTTGCACAGAGGCACTGGCTAGGCCAAGCGTGGCTCTGCAGGTGAACTAAACAAGTTGGACGAGAAGGGTCAGGACAGCGTGCCCACTGTGACTAGGGCAAACCACTTCGCTCCCCCATGCCTTAGTTTCCTCATCTGAAATCTTGGGCTGCCACCTATGGAAGTAACTTTGAATAGCATATTGGACAACAGAACGGGTAGGTAAAATGGCAGGCATAGCGCCTGGGCCACCGCAGGTGTCATCAGATGCCGGCTGTGCTCACTGCTGCCACCAAGTGACAGATGGGGAGAAAGGGACCTCATGACAGCCCAGAGAGGAAGAGGCCAGTGCCTGCAGTCCAGTGGACCCAGGTGGAGATCTGCATCCCCAGACTGTGAAAAGGCCCTTGGCAGGTGCCTATCCCTCCTGAAGTATAAACCCTGTAGGACAGTGAGATGAGGGACAGCACACAGTAGGTGCTCATTAAATGACTGCTCCCTTCTACCCAAGATAGGGGCTGAGCTGGCATGGCAGGGTAGAACCGAGGCGAAGGCTCTAAAAGGCCACAGAATCTTCCAGTCTCCTGGGTACATTGGGAATCCCATGAATGAGATGAGATCCATTCACCCCAATTCCTGCAATTCTTCCTGCCTCCCTAGAGTTTTGAACCAAATGTCATCTGCGTGTCACCTCTATCCCCATCAGAGAACCACCAACCTCAGACCACCCTAACCCACCCAGGAGGCCCTGCTCCAGATGGCAACTGGCCAAGGTGGCTGGAAACTAATGGCAAAATTTATTCCAAGGCTGCCGGGCAGGGGCGGGGTCGTAAGGGCACTTCTTGTTTTGGGGCTGTGGGTCTCCGGCCTTGGCAGGGGCACACGTTTCAGGGGCAGAATGGGACTGAGACAGGGCAGCAGAAGGCAGCGGGTGGGGAAACATCCAGCCTTGTCTGACCGGGCAGGCTCAGCGCAAGCTCAAATGGCGACACGAAAGCAGGACAGACAGTGGGTGTCTAGCCTGGGACAGAGGACAGATGAGGCCTCTCCCTAGCTCCTGGCCCTGGAGAGAATCCTTTGGGAGGCAAGGTAGGAGTCCAGGCAGCTGAGGCCCAGCTTCAAGGGCTGCAGTGAGGCCACAAGGAAAGGGCTCGCTGGCATTGGCCCTGATCCAAAGACCCAGGTGCCCTTCCACCTTCACCTAGACTCCCACCCACAGAGACCCCGAGCCACACAGTGCCTCTGCTCACCTAGTGGGCTGGAGGGCAAGCAACATCTCTTCTCTGTATTGTGGTGGGGCTCAGGACAACCCAGCACCACTGGGTCTTGGTGGAAAGTGTCTAGGGAGAAGGCCTGGGCGGTACTTGGTGCTGATCCCATACCTAGCTCAGTCCCCACATCTGTCCCCTGCCTTCCAGCACACACACCTTTCAAGCAATGTCTAAGAGATTGAGAAGCAAAGAAGGAAAAAACAAAACAGAAAAACCCTCTTAACTACACCCTTGCAGGTTAGTACCAGCCTGGGCTGGCCAGGTGTGGGCAGGACTGGTCTGTTGACTATACCCAACTCTTCCTGGGTTGGCAGAAGAAGGTCAGAGGGTTAACTGTAACAAAATCCTTTTCCAGTAATGGGTCAGAGACTCCCCTGCAGAAGCCAGATGGGTAGAGGGGTAGGGGAGAGGTCTTTTGTCCCAACCAGTCTCCCAGTGTCCTCTAGGGCCTGCAGCCTCTACCCAACTTAGCAAACTCCATTATCCCTAGTTTACAAATCAGAGGACTTATATCCCCTCTATGGGGGAGCTTTGGAGACCCCCCACCTGCCATCCCTGTTGATGCCTGCTCGCCTTTCCCCCTGCCTCTGATTCTGGCAGAGGGGGAAAGAATGACCTCTGACCTGAGGGACATCAAGGCCCACCAGGGAATCCCGAACCTCCTCCCTGGACAGCCAGCACTTCAGACTCCAGGACAGAAGCTGGGAGCAGGGGGAGGGCGGGGTGGGTAGCAGCCGCCTCCTTGGGGCACTCTGAGTGGCAGGCAAGTGCCAGTGGCTGGTGAGGGCCACCCCATCTCAGCCAGGCCCTGCCCGTCCTTACCCACCACCCCAAACACACAGCTCCAGAGCTTAGGGTCAGGGGCCTACGGGATGGGGCTCCTGGGTTGGCCTAACCGAATAAGCCCTGCAGAGGCGGCGGGTAGCCGTGCCCTCCCGGCCCGCCTGCCCCGGCCCGCCCGGGCTCAAGTCTGCTTGGCCTGCAGCATCTCGATGAGCAGGTTGTTGCGGGGCATCTCGTTGCCCAGGTGCTTATGGTACAGGTACTCCTTGGCCTGCATGCTCAGGGCCCGCACCTCCACCAGGCACAGCAGCAACTGCTGGAACTTGTCCCCGCAGTGTGGGTAGTGGCACAGGGTGTAGTCGAGCAGGGCAGCGTTGGCCTTCTCCTGAGCGTCCTTCACCAGGCTGTGGTTGTTCAGGAACTTCACATCTGCAAAGGGAGGAGCGCGGTCACCCTATGGCCATCCCTGCAGACACATCACTGGCACCAACACACCTTCCCTGTGACCCACCAAGTCATGCGCATCAATGTGGCTGACCAACACCACCATCCTCATCAATCACCCAAACTACATCCCTGTGTTTGTCACCAGTGTGACCGAGGCCACCATCAACAAGCCACAGTCACTGTCACCAACATCGCTGCCTCTGTCATTGCCCTGATGGTCAGGATGGATGTCGATCATCACCAAGACCTTCACCGATCGCTCCCGGGCATCCCTGGGCATGTTATTTAAACCACTCCATTTCCTCATCTATAAAATGAGGGTGACAATGGGACCTGCAAGACTTTGAGAATTTGAGCAGTTGACTTGGGGGAAATGCCTAGGAGAACAGTCACTGGCACAAAGGTCACTGGGTGACCTCCTTATCATGGCCAGGGTCGATACCATTACCATAACTGGCACCATCCCATGGTTAACATGATCATGTCACCTTCATCCCATGGCCATTGCCATCAGCATCACCACACTGCCACTCACCACTGTCACCTCACTGCCACCGTGACCAGAGAGGAGCACTGTGAGTGGAAGGACCCATCTCACAGCTGTGAGGCATGAAAACTGGAAGCCCCTTCCAGAGAACCACGGCATGCTGTGGGTTTACCCTGTGACCACAAAAGAGGCTCAGCAGCCCAAGGAAGGTTTCCTACGGGGCCTTGGGGACATGATGTTCACCACAGCAGTATTTATGGTGGCCAGGAGGTGGCCGGGATGCCGCATGCCAGCCTCACAGGCGAGTAGTATGGGGCACACAGAACCCAGAGCCCAGGGACCGATCTTTAAGAGCATGGAGAGGAAAACAAGGAATGGAGGGGAAGGTCCAAGGGGTCCAGAGGGTGAGGCCGTTTACATCAGTCAAAGATGGTGCTGGGGACGTGGCGCAGCGGTAGAGCACCGGCCCAGCCCGCACGAGGCCCTGGTCTCCTTCCACAATACACAAGAACAGGGACGAACAACATGATCTGCCCTGGACATGAAGGCTGTTTCCCTTGGAGCGAGAGGGACAGCATGCAGGGAGGTTCACTAGTGTATCCCTCCACTTGAGTCACAGGCATATGTCTCTGGAGTGAGGCAGACGAGGGTTCAAACCGAGCCACCATGTTGGAGCAGTGACCCTCCCTTAAAACGCCTTCCTCCTCTCTGCAGGAGCCGTGCCCACCTTGCAGAGGGGTGAGGAAGGCCTGGGAAGGTGTCTTGTGCCCAGGTCCCTCGCCATGGCTCACAGGCCCCTCCACTCCTGGGTAGCATTTCCCGCTGAATTTGCCCTGTCCAGGGGTTCAAGGTCACCAGGAATCCCCGGGATCAGTCCCCAGTCCTCAAATCCTAGCCTGGCCTCCCCTGGGATGTGGCTTCCAGTGGCTCAGAAAATGACCCTCCATCCACTTCCCCGCCCATCACCCCAGCCCTGCTGCTGTGGGGGCGGCCAGCCAGGTGGCATGTGCAGCCCTGGGCCCTCTAATCCCTTTAACACCTGCCGCGCCACGAGAGCTGGACGCTCCTGGCAACCCTGATCCTGGGCCGCCCCCGGTGCGCTTGCCAAGGCCTATGTTGTCCAAAGTTGGATTTAGGGAAACCTGAGCTGGGCCTGGGTCATATGGCAGGATCTGACAGGCCACCATCCTCCATCCTTACCCTGTCCCTCACCTTCCCTCACTAAGCAAGCCAGGGTTCTTTTCTCCCTCCATTCCCAGGACCTCTGTTGGCCCACAAGGCACCTTTGTGTCAATTAGAAAGAAGTCGGCCCTTGTCCATAGAGATGGAGCTAGATTTCAGACCTCCAGTCCTACCCCGCCTCTGTGCCCTTGTGCAGTGAATGACCTGCCCGACTGTACAGAATAGCCTGCACCCTAACCTGGCCGCTCCAGGCCCATCCAAATGTCATGAGAATTCACTCCACTTAGCTGGCCTCCTGGAAGCAGGTGCGTTAGTTTCATCCCTGTCCTAACCTCTTTCAATCCCAGTCCTGTCCCCATCTGCCTTCACTCCCACTATCCCCACAGCTAGGCAAGTCTGACACAGTCTTCTGCCAATTCAGAGTAGTAAGTTGGGATTTCAGAGAAGGATAGGGACCAGCTCAAAGCCACACAGCAGTGAAAGCAGTAAAGGGGCCTAGACGGAAGAGCTGGGGCTGGGAGGACAGGCTAGCATGCTGCAGTGGGGATGGGTGGGAGGGGCCTGGGAGAACCAGGGCCTGGGAGAACCAGGGCCTGGGCTTTACAGGGATTTACTGTTCTCGGCAACACCAAGCCGGGGCGGACTGCAGGGGGTGGGTGCAGAACAAGGACAGGTTTCAGGGACAGCCCCTTGCAGCAGTTCTCTGGTCTCTTGGCTCTTAGGAGGCTGAGACCTCGTATCCCCATAAGGTCAGCTACAAGGGATAGGGGGCACCGTCCTTAATGGCTACAGTCCAAGAGTCTGGATCCAGTGTCCTGGGCACCCAGCCAACACCTTGCGCCCTGACACCTTGCACCAACCTGGGTAATTCTCAGGGAAGGGCACCCCAAGACCAGAGCCTGCATCAAAACCCAGGTCTCTGATTCTCAGGCCTCCTGCTGCGAGGGCTGGGTCCGCCTGGACACTGGGTCCTGGGGAACTGGACATACCTCATGTTCCATCCAACTAGGACCCCATCCAAGCCCTGCTGTCCGGGGCCCCAGGTTTCCCCCAAAGAGGCTGCTCTGGGCTCGAGGACTTGGACAGTCACCCACCTCTCCACTCCCCGGAGTCCCCAGTTTCTAAAATGTTTGTGGTGAAGACTCTAAGGTACCTGACAGAATCAATGTCCCATGAAGAGCTCTCACCCTTCCAACCTTAGACACAAGCAGGAGACAAACAAGTCTGCAGATGTCTCCTTAATGGGTCAGGGGTTCAAAGCCTAGCCCTACAGGCAGCTGGGTGACCTTGGACAAGTCACTTCCCCTCTCTGAACCTCAGTTTCTTGTCATCTGCAAAATGGGGGCAAACTGATCTCTGCTCATGGAGCTCCAAGACCAGACCTCTCCTGTGTATCTGGCCCAGGGCCCTGAGCCTCACAGAGTGGAAGTGACCAGGCTGGAGACAGACCTGTGTCCCTATCCCTGTCCTGCTCAGCTCCCAGCAGTCCTGGAGGTGGGAGGTGGGAGGCAGGAGGGGGCTGGGAGATGGCACCCCCACCTCAGAGAGCAGCCTGCTAGCTCTGCGAGCTCTGGGGCCCCCAGGAGCTCAGAAAAGCCCCCTTTTCACGGTTTAATTGAATATTTGAATAATCCTTTCATTCCAGTGAGGCATAAAGAATGTTGTCCCAATAGCGGTGACTCAGGCAGGCGCCCCCGCGCACAATGGCCCCTCGAGTGGGGCTGCTATTCAGGCCGCCTTTTGTTGGCTCGGAGCAGTGGGTAAATTGCAAACGCTTAAGGGAATGCTGCTGCCGCCGCCTCAATGGAAATCAGGAAATCGAATGTTAGGTCAATCCATTAAGCTTCGATTAAGTCCTCGGCAGAACAATGCCCGCCGGGCCCATCTTCATAAACACTGCGATTGCCAGGAGAGAGGCACTAATTTTAATTAAACCTCCTTACCTGCCTCTGAGCCCGCCCGAGACAGCTATTTAGACGCCAAATGGCACCCTTCTGCAGAGGCAGGCGAGAAGGAGGCGCTGAGGGCCGGCGGTGGGGTGGGTGGGTGGGGGGACAGGCCTCACAAGAGTTCAGGCTACCCAGCCCAGGGAGGTGCTGCGGAGGGTGACGCCCTGCATGCCAGCTGGGAGCCTCCAGAAAAGTGACAGTCCCTCTCTGGCTCCCTTGTGCCCAGCTCTGGTCTGGATGGAATCATAGTCGGAGCTCTCTGTTTCAGACTCGGGGGTCCAAGTCGCCCCAGCCCCAGATCTCACCTCTTGCAGGGATCTGGGCTGCCCACCTGCCATCCTTTCCCCTGCCGCTGCTGAAGGGCTTTGGTGAAATGCAAGTTTGAACCTGTTAGTTCCAGGTACAACCCAACCCAAGGGACCTGGCCTGATGCTCAAGGTCAAACTTACATTTGTCCTCCGCCACAGCCTCTTCGCCCCTGCCCAGTCCCCTAGGCCACAGGGTCCCTTCAGGATTCCTCGTAACCCTCGGGGGGCTGATCCTTCGGTGGGGGATCCTCCAGCCCTGCTTGCTTCCTTTCACCCATCACACTCCTACTCCTCCTGCAAGGCCCCGTCTCAGACACGCCTCACCCGAGAAGGCTTCAGGGATGTCCCCGCTCCATGGAGTCAGCCCAACCCCCATCTCACAGGGCAGCTCCAGTTCTTTCTCCACCTGGAACCTGCTCCCCAAAGGCCTCGTGGCCCCGTGGTCTCCTCCACTGCTCTCCTGCAGGTCCAGGTCCCAGAGCCACCTCCTTCCCCCTCACAGCCCGCTCCTCAGCCCAGTCCTCATCTCTGTGCCCAAAGAGAGTAAGGCCTGAGCCAGACACTCAGATGAAGATGAAGCCTGTGACCTGGGCATCCGCTTCATTCATTTGCTCATTAACTAAGAAGGAGGATTACAGAAGCAATCCGAGTCACACAGTGGCCACGCCTGTCACCCCAGCCTTGCGGGAGGCTGAGGCACAAGTTTTGAGGCCACCCTCAGCAATTTAGTGAGACCCTGTCTCAAAATAAGAGATCAAAAGAACTTGGGACGAAGCTCAGGTGTAAAGCACCCCTGGGTCAACCCCCAGTACCATTCACATAAAATAAAATAAAAATAAAACACCATACCGGCCCATGCCTCTGAGGGGCAGGCCCAGTGCCGAGCACCTTGGGAAATTCTCTCATTACTTCCTGCAGCAAGACAGGGTAGTCGTGGTGGGCATTTCACAGATGGGGAAATAGAGGCTCAGAGCAGAGAATGACTTGATCAAGGGCATAAAACTGGAGGGACCTGAGTGAAACCCAGCTGGTCCATCCCTACCCCCCTCCCCTGACCACTGCTCACGGACACACACCACACACGCATGCTCACGCTCACAGGTCCCCGCCCCTCCAGCCTCCTGCTGAGCCCTGCAGTCGATCTCGCCCAGTCCCTCAGGCCTCAGCCGCCTCTGGAGGACAGGATGGAGGAGGTGCTCGGCACTCCCAATTCTGGGCACACACCTACCTGGGCCCCAGAACAGAGAGGTGGGCTCTGCCTTGCTCTCTTCCCTACACCTCTGGCTCTCTTCCCTACGCCCCATGGAAGGGGAGTCCTGGATTTACCACGGGGGTGGCCAGAGCTGTGCTGGGCCAGGCAGCCACCCAGGGCTTTGGTGGGAAGCAGGGTTGGGGGCTCTTTAGGGGACACTCAAGGAAAGATAGAGTCCCAAGGAGACTGGTGCAAGAGCCCCCCCCCCTTCTAGCCTTCCCCCAGAACTCTCTCCATGGCCCCTTGATGGCAGTCGGGTCAAGAACTATCACCCAGACTGTCACAGATTCTGGGCTACAATCCTATGTGCCAAGCATGACGTACCCTCCGAGTCCCTCGTGTTCCAAATCTCCCTTCACTCCCCAATCTCACACCAGCTCCTCGTGCCACACGACACCTGAAAACCCAGCCACACACCTGAGCGTGCAGTCTGCATGTGCAAACTCACACCCACGCACCGCACTCCTGCCTGTCCGCAGCCCACATTACACGGACCCCCAGCCACGCTGTGCCAGTTTTCAGAGCCCTGCAGCAGCTCTCAATGACAAGGTGGTGAGGAGGACGCCCCTGGGGGCAAAGGTAAGACCGAGTGTCCCCCCAGCTGGAGCCAGCCTGGCTAGGCCCCTAAAGCTCCTCTAAGGACTTCCCGATGCAGCTCCTGGGTGGCTGTGGCTGCTCAGGCTTCCGCCCTTCCAGATGACTGTCCTGTAGCCACCCTGCAGAGCCCCGGCTGGCTGCCTGAGAGGGAACCTCTCAGAGAAACCCACCAGCCACCAGCCTGTAGGGCCGGTCAGAAGACCCAGCCCACTGCCCCCCACGCCTTCCCACCTCCTAATCGACTACCTTCTTCTCCTCTGCGCTCCATCACCTCCCACTCCCCCTCCCCTGGGTATGTTATAGACACCCTGTGGCTCTACGGCCAACTTCCCCAGTCAGCCCTCATCCCATGTCAGCTCCTCTGCTATGAGATCCATCTACCCAAAGCATCCCCCAAGTCCCTGCTCAAATGTCCCTCTTTCAGGCATAGCCCTTGCTCCCATCTCCCTGTCCTCACCCTAACTGCAGGGCTGCAGGGTTCTCCCACTCGCTCCTGAGGCAAGGAACACCCCCATGTGCATGTCACTGGCTGCAGGGAAGGCACTGGTGACGGTTCGCTGGGAGCTGGGAGGCCAGAGGGAGCTTGGAGACTGGAGCGGCCCAGTCTGGGCTGTGGTGGGAGGCGAGCTGGTGGGCTGGGCTTGCCCCACCGACCAGCTCCCCACTTTCCTCACCATCTGAGCGCTGGCTTCACATTTCACTGATCATACGAAGCTTTTTGGCTCTTTCCTAGAGAAAGCCAGTTCTGCTAAGCAGGGACTTGGGGATCCTCTTGGCTCAATGTCCTAACCCTAGGCCTTGCGCAGGGCAGATGCTCAGCAAATGCTTGTAGAATGAAGGAATGAGTGGGAGGGGGGTCTGGGCCCCAGAGAGTCAGAGGCAGAATGTGAGCCCCTGTGGACCAGGGAATTAAGGCCCCAGAATGGAAGCCGGGAGTAGAGAGCCGGAACTCCCACAGCATGTTTGCAGGTGGGGACGGACACACACCGGGGGCGGTCAGCCAGGAGTCGCCACATTCTATGAAGGGTCCTTGTCCCATGAAGGGCAAGAATTGGACACTGTCTTGACCTTTGATACTTTCACAGAGAGACAGGTCCAGCAGGGCAGTGCCCATTCCCAGTGCCAACCACTGGCCAGGTGCCCTATACTGAGTATAGGACCCCAAGACCCAATGGTGGCCTCTGTGGCTACAGCGGGGCCCTTGGAGTTGCTCTGCCCACTCACCCCCCACCTCCGCCCTCCACGGCCAAAGCACCCTGCCACTCACCGAGGCTGAGGAGGATGAGGAACTTGAGGCACACAAACTCCTGGCGGTCCAGCTGCAGTGCATGCAGCTGTAGCACCAGCTCTTGCGCCCGCAGCACCAGGCCATGGAGCAGGGAGCCCGCCTGGGCAGCCACTGTGGTCAGCTCCACCTGGGGGGTCGAGAGGGCAGGTCAGGGGCCCTTCAGAGGGGATGGGCCCAGGACAGCGGTTGTGGGGCCTGGGTCAAGCAGCCCTCCTGGGAAGCCAGGAGCCCTCCCAGGCCCACCAGCGTCAAGGACACACCCTTCCCAGTTCTCCTCAACCTGCTGGGCCTGGAGTCGGGGCACCCATGGCCTGCATGCCTTTGATGGCAGCAGGGCAGACACCAGGAAGTGGGTGCCACAGGGGAACTAAAGGTCCTTCATATACAAAGAGCCGCTGCTTGGCCCAGTGGTGCGAACAGATTCCGTGCTCTGTCACAGGGGAGGGCAGTTCTGCCTGAAGCTGTGGACGCGTGCACATGTCCACCCGCCTGCTCTACAAGCTCAGCTCACAGTCACACTCAGACACCTTCACAGGGCGGCCACCAGCTTCATGAAGTGGAGGCAACACTCACTTGCACACACACTCACATGTGCCCTTGGAGGGGCACTCACAGTAACCCACAGCTGCGTGTTGGAGCACGCTCACGTGGTAAGAGACAGAAACAGACGCCCACATGCTTCTGCATGGGATTTGCACAATTAAACACAGGAGGGTGCACACACATGCAGGTCACTCCTGGGACCACAGAGACTTTGGCCCACATACTCACACTCACGTCTCAAACTCCCTCCACCTGCACTCACAGGGGCTCCAAAGTTACCCCTTAGGAGGACATCTCTGTCCCATCCCCCCAGTGGCCTGAGACACCAGGGTGACAAGTGAAGATGAGGACAGAGGTCCTGAGGGGAGGGGGTGAGGAGCAGGACCTCAGTCTCTGTCCCCACCTGTGTTACCCATTAGGCCACTGCTCAGCCCGTGTCCCCACCTGGGGAGTCCTCGTACCACCCGACTGGACCCAGGGCATCAATTTCCTGTCGCCTCTCCTCCTGCCCTCTCTTTCCCCTGCTCCTCCTGGGCTCTTCCTCCTCGGCCCCCCCACTCTGAGCCAGGTGGCTGCCTCCACCTCCTCCACCCTTTTCCCCCTCCCTTTCCTCCTGGGGTCAGTGCGTCCCCCCTCCCGAGGCTCCAGCTCTGTCTTCAGGAGCCTCCGAGCTCCACTTTCCACCCTCTTGTCCCATCTCCCTGCTCTAAGCGGCCAGAGCCCGACTCTGGGCTCCCTGCGGCCTCACTCCACCCTCATTCCTTTATTTGGGATCCGGAGTCTGCGAGGTCTCACCCTCTTATGGCTGGCTCCCAGCAACCCCTCTAGCCTCATCTCTTACCTCCTCCCACCCTGCAGGCCCCAACAGCACTTCTGGACCCCCTCTCAGATCCCGTGCCCTGCTGTCCCCCCACCTGTGTGGGAGTGGAGACAGACCCCCCATCACCTCTCACTATTCAATCAATTCTGATTTTTCAAAAATTTATTCTTGAGAGACCCAGTGCCACTGTCCCTTCCTCCTCTGATCGTCCCACATCCTCTAATCTTGTCCCCCAGAGCAGGGCTCCCAGAGGCTGACTCCTTACAAGACCAGGGACAGGGCTGGCCACAGAGAGGCCTGGCCAGGGGATGTCCCCCAAAACGAGGGAAAGGGATGGAATTCAGGGTGTCCAGAGCTCAGAATTCTGAAAGCAGGGTCCGTCACCTCCTGGCCGGTGACCAGCAGGATGCTGCCCTCCTTGCCGTATTGGACCTGGCGGTAGATGTGGTCGAACACCAGCAGCTCACTCCAGCAGTTCTGCAGCAGTGTCATCTGGTCAGCCACCTGCAAGGAAGAGCCGCGTGGGTGTCTGGGGTCCTGCTGGGGACTAGTTAGGGACCTTCCTCTCACCCTTCTCCCCCAACTCTCAGTTCAGAGAATGAACTAGATGTGTGACCCAAAAAAAGTGACCACCTCTCTGTGTCCTGCCTGCCCTTCCCTCTACTGCATCAAGTGTGGCCAAGGTCTAACAATGACAGGGTCCAAGAGAAATGCTTGGGGCTTGGTTGTGCCAGGCTTCAGGCCCCAGCCCTGCCTCTCACACATGGTAGGACCTGATGCAAGTTCCAGGAGCTTTCTGTACTTTGGTTTTCTTTCTTTTTTATTTTTCTGGGGATCAGGGATTGAACCCAGGGGCACTTAACCATTGAACCACACCCTAGCCCATTTTTTATATTTTATTTAGAGACAGGGTCTCGCTGAGTTGCTTAGGGCCTCCATAAATTGCTGAGGCTGACTTTGAACTCTCGATCCTCCTGCCTCAGCCTCCTGAGCCTCTGGGATTACAGGCATGTGCTTGGTTTTCTAATCTATAAAGTGGTCAAGGTACTTAGAAGCTGGTCTGACATGTATTAAACACTCAGTAGATGTTAGTGACAAACGTCCCTGGAGGCGCTCTGTGAAGACACCACTCATCTGAACAGTGTGCCCATATGGCCTGCTGTCAACTCTGGCAGCTACAACTGCTCTCAAAGAGCCAAGGGGAAGAAACAGAGGGCGGCTTCTCCTGGGACTTTTGCAGAGCTTTCAAGCCCAGAAGAGAAAAGTGTTGGCCAGGCCTGGGGACAGATCGGGGAGAGGGCAGGCAGACGGCAACATCTGCAGTAGGAACAGAAGATTCTGAACACCTAGGTGGCAACCGGCACTGAGTCCTCCTTGAGGAGGACAACCCAGGCTTTGGTCCCTCTTGGTATCCACAGCCCCCTCCTGGGACCATCTCTATGGTGAACACAAGCCATGATGATTACCAGTCTCTGCGCTGGGGTCCCACGGCCCTGCGAGGTTGGTGCAGTTGCTACTAGCTTCATGGAGAGACCAAACAGCACAGTGACTTGCCCAAGGTCACCCAGCTCTGTCTGGTTCCAGATCCATGCTCTTCACTACTGGAGTGGGACAAGACCTGACCCTGCTCCCTTGCCATCTAGGGGTTCATGGTCTCTTGTCAACCTCTTACTTCCTCCAAGAAGCCCTCCTCAATCCCTCCTCCCTCCCCAGGGCCCTGCCACCCTCTGGACATAGAATGCGCAACATCTTATGGCTCATGCTCTGCCTTCCCTGATGCCATGAGGCACGGGAAGGCAGGCCTGGTGTCCAGCTCAGCTCTGGGCCCCTCCAGGAGGCCTCAGGAGCAGCTGATAGAACTCTGCCAGACACCCACCCCTCCCCCAAGGAGCCAGGGAGCCCCGGCAAACAACTCTGTCTTCTTGGGGTAGAAGTCCCTCCTCCCTCTGTCACCTCCTCTCCATCCCTGAGGCCTCTGTCCTCAGGCAAACAGGGGGAGAAAGGAGAAGGTAGAACAAGAGGAAAGTGAGGAACTGGACACACAAACAAGGTCTCTTCTCGCACCCCCCTCCCCAGTGCGGGAAGAGAAGAAAGGACCTGGTCTGTGCAGGTCTGTCCTGCTCTGGGCCACCGCCTCCCTTCCTCACCTCATCTCTGGGCCAAGCGCCCACTCTCTCCCTCCTCTCAGAGTTTCATCGCCATCAGAGCAGAGCCCTAGGTGACCTGGGATTGGCCCCACCAGCCATTAGATGGCAGGGGACACCTTCTCCTTCCCTCTCCTCTGGAAGTGGCTGGCCTGTGGAGCAGGGTAGGAGCCTTGCCATCAGTTTCCAAGAAGAAAGCGAAGCTGAGGGAGGGCTTACCATCAGGATCGACCGGCCCTGCCCCAGTGACATCCTGCCCGTGTTGCAGAGAAACAAGCAGGCTTGCCCGAGGTGACGCGTGGGCAGCGGGGCTCTGCCCAGTCGGCCCTACTGGGTCCATCTTCAGGGGCTCTGGGAACTTCTGCCTCAGGCCCAGGTGGGAGAAGTCTGCCCAGGGGTCACACTGGTGTCAGGCAAGGAGCTCTTGAGCCCACTGAGGGTGACCCAGAAGGAGCCCATGCAGGGCTGTGCTCTGCCCCCACCCATTGTGAGTCCCTAAGAGCAGACACCCTTGTGCCCAGATTGAATGAAGGGGGGGGCGTGGAAGAGAAGAGATAAGGGGGGAATTAGAAGATAAGCAGGCCAAGCTCCAGGGAGAAAGCAAAGGGGTCACAGTGACCTGGCTGGCCCAGATCTGGGAGCAGACTCCAGACCTCAGACCCCAGGGTGGGGGCAGCCCTGCCGAGGGGCCCAGCTGGGAGACAGCAGAGATCAGCTCTCTGATGCCTACACTCCATGCCCCTGCCCCACTACGCGTCCTCTCGCCCTCGTTTACTGCTTTATGAAAGGGAGAAATAATCTTCCCCCTTCAGTTACAGAAAAACCTATGAACATAGCATGGGTCGCAAGGGGTTGTGTGAACCCACTGTCAACTCCCCCAAGGATGCCACTCAAGCTGGGCTCCCACTTACCCCTCGGCCAAGCATTTTCCTGCCAGACTTCCACTTCTTCACTCAGATGGACCAATGGACACATAAAGACACCCAACTCCCAAATGCTCCCCACAATGTGAGCACACATAGGCACACCTGTACATGAGCACACATAGCCACACCTGCACATGGGTACACACACCTCTGTATTTAAAAGAAAACTAGCCGGGTGCGGTGGTGCACACTCTGTAATCCCGGCAGCTCAGGAGGCTGAGGCAGGGGGATCGCAAGTTCAAAGCCAGCCTGAGCAAAAGCGAGGTGCTAAGCAACTCAGTGAGATCCTGTCTCTAAATAAAATACAAAATAGGGCTGGGGATGTGGCCCGGTGGTTGGGTGCCTCTGAGTTCAACCTCTGATACCCCAAAAACAAATAAATAAAAACTTGAGTAAAGCTCCATAAAAAAGCAGGTGGCCAAGAGCCTCACTCAGTCAAGGAGGGCTGGTGTCCCCTCTCCAGAGGTTTCTTCCTAAACTCAAGGTCCCTCCTCCCCTACCCTCTAACCTCCTTTCCACCCTCGGGACAAGGACATTTGCAGTCCCAGCCTCAGAGTCCCTTACCAGCCTAGCCCATCCATGGGCTCACCAGCCACCCACCCCTCCTGCTCTGGGCAGCCACAAATCTTCCCAGAGCCTTGACACGTTGCAGCCGGCTCTGGAGAAGGGCTATTTATGGGTGCCGGGTGACCTCTCCCCCAGCGGGCCTCCCTCTGGAGCCCCCTGGGGTCTGATCGGTTTGGCAGCCGAAGGCCAGCAGGCTCGGTAATTCTCGGGTGGCTGACATGCCCCAGGCTGGCCTGGCACGCTCCAGGCCAAGTGGTCGGTGGGCCATCGTTTGTCAGCCGAGGACTGACAAGAGTTACTGCAGCTTAAATGAAACCATATATCTGGGCAATTAAATCTGTTGCCAATGGGGGCCTCGGAGCTGGACGTCAAGGGTGAACTGGTGTCAAGATGGGTCATTAGGCACTGTGGCTCCCCTCCCTCTCCCCGGTTCCTGTCTTGCACCCTCGCAGTCTATCCCTCACCGTAACTGTCCAGGGCGGACTGCCTGGCTCCGGACCTGCCCCCACTGCACAGCGGGGAAGGGTGAGTCCCTGCTGCCTTGCAGATAAGAAGCTGCTTTACAAGCCCTGAGCAAGTCTGTAAACACAGTGCTCAGAGGAGCGTGCATTCAGCATCTCTTACTCTGCTCCTCCTGGCCAGGCCTGGAGACCACCTGCAAGTGGGCAGTCAATGGCACAGTGCAGAGAGCAGAAAGGAAGGGCGCTGGGGAGCCCAACGACTGGGTTTCCTGAGCACCAGGTCCTGTGTTGAGGTCTTCACCTACCCAGGCTCACTAAACCCCTATAACCACCCTCCCGGGTAGCTATTACCCACATCCCTCTCCTTTATAAATGAGGAAACTGAGGCCCAGAGAAGCAGAACTGCACAGCTTGGTAGTAAGCCCCCCGAGCCGGGGTCTCTGGTCTTCACTTCTGTGCCACTGTCAGCTCCAACATGCTATGCTTGGGCAAGGTGGGAAAATGGAGACAGAGGGACAGCCAATCAAGTGGGAAAGGGGACAGAGGAGGGAAAGTCCTAGAGGGCACCTGGGATCGTACATACCTGGGCCCCCAGCATCCCTGATGGTTCAGTTAAGACCCCAGGCTTTCCCCTGAGAAGCTGATTGGTCATCTGCATGGAGCCTTGGCTCTGGCTAGGAACCCCTCCCTGGATGTGGGGCCCCAGCCAGTCCTGGATGTCCATCATCTGCTGCCCAAGGGCCCACTCCTGGGTCGGGCTCTGCTGATGCTGCCAGCCCACTTCATGGGGTCACCTGGAATGCCCGGATGTCCTCACACTTTTATGGACTTTCCCCTGGGCTATTCCCATTTCTTGAATGTCCTTAGCATTCTCTGACTTCTTTCTGGAAACCTCTGACTTCCTCAGATGTAGCCATCTTCTCTCTCACTAGACTTCTCAGTCCCTTCCCATCACTCTCAGAGCCCTGGGCACTCTGGGCACTCTGTATTGGCATTATCTATGTGCACTTCTGTCTCTTCCTCTAGCCTGGCAACTTTCTGGGTCCAATTCATTTCAATGTCCCCAACATCCATGATGCCCCAAAGCCATCCCTGGATGGCTCCGTTCCAGAGCCCCTCTTCTGTCTGCTGAGATGTGTTGAATGGTGAATCAAAGGGATACTAGGGCCATTCAGCACCCTTCTGCTTTTCTGCCCACTCACCCCTGGGTTCCGCAAACAGACACCACCCAGGGCCCACTGGAGCAGTGGGAAAGAACTTGATGTGGCAAACTAGAGGTTCTCCAAGGGCTGGGCTAGTGCTTATCTGCAAGGCTCCTTTACAGAGGTAGTCACTGTGGGCCATATTCCTGGGCTCAATACAGAGATTCTGGGAAGGGGAAGCAGGAAGATTTGGGCCATAGAGAAGCCAGAGCAGGAAAAAACACTCAGCAAAGCTGGGACAAAGGCCCTTCCCATCCTGCGTGAAGCCCCGGGAGAGTAGGAAAGCGGCCAGAGGAAGTGCCCTGCCCCTGGATCCAGGCTGGGAATGCTCTGCTGCTCCTCCCTCTGCACAGGGGCTTATGGGAAGCCTGCAGGGGAAGCCAGCAACCAACCCCAGAGTCCTGGGTCCTCATCCCCCAGGGCGTCCAGCCAGGAGCAGAAAGCAGGTGGGAGTATCCCTGCATAAGGTCAGCCCAGAGAGGGCCAGTAGAGGGGACTGGTAGATAGCCCATCCCATGGTAGACCCACTGCATGTCCCAGACCTTGACCATGACAGGCCCTCCACAGTAGAAGCAGGAATCACCACCACAAATTCTTGACTCCCAGATCCCCCTAGGCCCCTAACGCCATGATGCTCCAGAGGCTCTGAGTCCCCATGCCCCACCTTATTCCCATTCCTTGCCAGCCAGGGCAGGCAGTGCCCCCAGCCCATCCGGCCACATCTCCTGGAGGAAGCCCAGGCCTGAGTGGCGTCAGCACTGACAATGCTGCTCAAGGCTGCAGTGGCCCCAGCAGGGAGGGCAAAGGCTCTGCTGTTTATAACCAACCTCAGAACAGCTAGGGGGCTGACTTGGGAAAGGCTGTACCCAGACCAGGGAGAAAGGAACCTTCGCCAGGGTTTCAGGGGTCTCTGGGGAAGCCTCAGATGGAGCCAGGGCATTGGAGGGGCAACTCTCAAGCCTCAGGCCATTCACATCCCTAGGCAAAATGACTGGGAAGTTCTTCCCTATACCTGGCCTCAGTTTTCCTGCTGCTTTTCTGTTTACTTTAGCTTAGGTACCTTAACACCTGGGGGAAAGAAGCCCTTGAGGTAAAAGAAAGCTGCTTCATCTGGCAAGATCACTGACAGGCCCTGGGATCCCCCACCCAATTCCTTCTGCAGGCATACAAACACACAGACACACAGAACCGAGAGGTACAGGGGCAATGATACCTTTCATCTTATTTAGGGTGGAGGAGGGCCCACAGGTATCCAAAACTCAGACACTAAGAGCCCATCCATGGCATATGCAACTGGTGGGGATTGGTAGCCTCCCTGAATGGGATGACAGGATGGGCTGGACCCCCTCCTGGCATTGGCCTGGGGGCATACGAAGACCCAGTTAGTATTTTGAGGGAGTCCAAGGCCTCAGAGAAAGCAGGAAATGCCTCCAGAAAACCCAGACTGGGAGAGAAACAGCCTCAGACTGAAGAGGCTGGAAAAACACAGAGGAGCAAAGAGACCACAGGCCTGGGGGTGCAGGGGGACATTAGCATGAGACAGAGACTGTGAGAGACAGAGACTTAGAAAACAAGGCCAGGGAGGGGAGGGAGTGAGCAGGAGTGAGGGACACTCAGGAGGATGTGGTAGACCAGAAATGATCCTTAATGTCCCCATGGGAACCTCCATGTCCTAACATTGCCTAAAACCAGTGGGCAGGATGGACCACTCAGGGGGCCACCAGGACAGAGGTCCAGGCAGCCTGGAGGCCACACCAGAGCCACAGCCAGCGGCGGAGGAGGCACTCACCTCCAGCTCCTTGAACACCATACATCTGCGAGCCCAGTCCACGATGGAGATGAAGGTCTGGTCAGCCATCCTGCACAGGAGGCCGAAGGGTGCTGGCTGGTCGGGGCGGCCTTTGGCAGGTTCCTGCAGGCAGCCTACGATGCGTGCCCGCACCTGGTCCTCATCGGGCTCCAGCTGCAGCAGCTGTAGGATGAGCTCGGGCACACTGGGCCCTCCAGAGAAGGGCTCTGGGTAGCCATAGGGCGGCCCAGGCTGCGGGGGACTGGCGTAGGGTTCTGGATACTCAGACTTAATGGCACGGCCAGGGAAGGCAGGGTAGAGGTAGCCGGCCAGTGGCCCATGGGTGCTGGGCATGGCCATGGGCAGTGCTGAGGCTCCAAAGTCGCCCAGTGGCCCAGTGGGTGGACCAGAGGCCAGGCCCTTAGGCTCAGGTGCGTGCAGGCTGGGGGTCAGCATGTAGTCCGGTGGGGGAGGGGGTGGCGGAGGCACCCCCATTGGGGGCCCTGTCTCCAGCTTGAAGCCATTGGCCCGAATCTGTGCCTTCTTCTGCTGCTTCAGGGCCCGGTCCCGCTTGTACATGGGCCCAAACTTGTTCCGGCCGCCCCGCATACGGTCAGCGCGCACGGCTGTGGGCAGGGGCAGAGGGTCAGGCTCCCCCCTCCATGCCACCTTCTATGCTGCTCTATCCTGAGCTAACTGTGTCCTTCCCCTGCCCAACAGCCTTTCATGACTTCCACAGGGGAAGACAATCATCTTAGCCTGGCATTCAAGGTCCTGCTCAATTTTCCAGGTTATCCCTCAGGGGATCAAGTGTCCCTTCCACTTCACCTTACTCACCTCAGCAGACACTGCTGCTCGGCTTGACACTTTTCCCTCAGCCTCCACCCTGCTCCCCATCTTTAATAGTCCTTCTTCCTCAAAGCCTTTTCTTTCTCTTGTGCTTGCCAAACACCCAGCCTCAATGTCACCACCTCCAAGAAGTGTTCCTAGATTTGCCCAGGCAGACTCTCCTGTCCTTGGCCCCACAGTCCCATCCCTGGCCCACTCTTATCATGCTGAGCGTACCATGCCATATGCCCTACGCTGGGAGGTCCTGGGGACTCAGCTCTTAGTCTCTTGGTTCAGATGCCCAGTGCTGGGCCTGACAGGGAGACAGTAATAGGAAGGGGACCCTGTGAGTCTTCCTCACAGCTGGATGCCCAATACGGACTAAATCCCAGACTCTTTGAACCCCAGTGGCAAGATGACTTGGGTTTCCCCTACTGACTCTGAATGTGAAGGCGGATTTAGGGGTTGCTGGCTCTGTGATGGAGGCAGGGACCTCTCTTGCTAACCAGATGTTCCTCTGTCTAGCCAAGAATGTGTCACCAGCCAGACTCAACAGGTGCATCTCTGCAGCTGGAGTGTGGCCCCCCCCCTGCTTAGACAGGACCCCAGCCCAGGCTCTAGGAGAAGGAAGAGATCAGGAGACAGAGGGCAGTGCTTAGCAGGAATGGAACCTCCCAGACATACGTCTTCCTGCCATACTTTCAGGCAGGCTGCCCTGTGGGCTTCGGCTGCCAGCAACAACCAGCTATTCTGGCCCCTCAGGACTTGGAGCTAGGGATGTAGGCTCTTGGGACAGGGCAGGGTATTCCCGCCCCCCGAAGCTAGGAGCTGTAGAACATGTGGTCTGCAGCTCTCAGAGCCTCTGGGGGTGGGGGCTTCTCCTTGTTCAGAAACTTCAGCCAACAGCTGCTGGCTGGGCACATAGCCCAGCTGGGGCCATGGGGTAGAAGCTACTCATGTCCACCCTTGGGTCTCTCCTTCTGGGACATCTTTTTTCCTCTCTGGACTGCAATGGGGGTAGGGGTGGGGGCAGAAGAGTCCTTCGTCCCCTGGGGAAATTGTTACCTACTCCTCACCCCTCTCAGGGCTGGCTAGGAACAAGATAGGAAGGAATCTAACCCTCTGGAGTGAAAAAACCCAGTGATCCCTGGGTGATGGTGGATAAATAAAAGGAGAAGGCATAAGAATAAAATAACAATAGCAATAATAGCTAACCTGTGAGTGTTTACTGTGTACCAGGCACCTTAGACTTTCCGTAACTTCTCTCAAACCTCACACTAACTCAGGGAGGGAGGGAGGCACTACTATTAATCCCACTTTAAAGTTGAGGAATCTGTAGATCATCGAAGTTAAGGAATTTAACCCAGTGCCTGTAAGTGGTGTCACTGGATCTCGAACCAGACAAGGGCATTGAAAGCCTTGACTCTAGCTGGGGTGGGGGCTGGAGCTTCTTCAGGGGGAGAAGCACTGCTGGGGCTCTGACTATGTTGGGGACCCTGGGCTGCCGAAAGGGCGTCTCCCTGGAGTTGAGTTTAACGCAACCCTGGCTGGTTCTGCATGAACTCCCTCCCCCAGGACTTAAGCCCAACCCCCGCCTGTCCCCTCACTCCCTTGAAGAGACCAGGCCCTAAGTCAGGCTAGGGGCCAATCGCCTGGCCCCTAAAACTTCGAGAAGGCCAGTGATGTCCTCTCTTCAGCTACCTTTCCCAGCCCCACCCTCTGCTCCCTCGGGCGGTCAGAAGTCAGGGGTCGGAGTCCCGCGGGGCGCGCACCTTCCAGGCGCATCCCCACCGTCAGGCACTTCTGGAAGCGGCAGAAGGGACAGCGCTTGCGCTGCGTCTTGTCGATCTTGCAGCTCTGGCTCTCCGTGCACGTGTAGTGCTTGTTGTTCTGCACAGTGCGCTTGAAGAAGCCCTGAAAGAGAGGGGAGTCAGCGTGGGAGCGATGGACCCTCTGCCCAGAGCGCGCGCCGGCCTCCGCCGCGCCCTACACACCCTTGCCGCCCGCCTGCAGACTCACCGCTCACGCGCTCACCTTGCAGCTCTCGCACGTGAGCAGCCCGTAGTGGTATCCGGACACTTTGTCCCCACACACTGGGCACAGCTCATCCAGGTCCTCGTCGTACGAATAGTCCATGCCCGCGGCGTCCGCCTGAGGAGAGAGGAGAGGGTCACCACGGGCCGACGGCGAGGGGCTGCGGCTGGTCGGGCCGGGCGGCCCTCCCCCCCCGCGCCAGCCGCACCCACAGCGCCCGCTGCGGTACCCCTGGCCGCGTCCAGGTGAAGGGGGCGGCGGCAGGACCCACTGCAGCGCTCAGGTGGTCGCGCAGCATGGGCCCAGCCCGAGTGTGGGTCCCACGCTCCCGCAGCGCGGCTCCTCCCGCGCCGCCGCTGCCGCGCCCGATCCCGGACCCTCGGATTCGATGCGCTTCGATCCGGATTCGTTTGTCTGAGAACAAAACCCCGATTCTGAGAAAAGGAGACAGGCTTCGGCGCGGGTGAAACAGGAGCCAGGGAGCCCGGGCAGAGTGGGGCGAGCGGCCCGGGTGTGCTGGGAACCCGACAGAGACGAAGGAGGCAGAGACAGTCTGGGAGAGACAGAGAGACCCGCCGGAACCAGCGCGATACCCCGACCGACGCTGATCACGTAGAGAGAACCCGGGCGACGGGGACACACCGATGCCGAGTCAGGAAAAAAGCCTAGGGAGACGAGATAGATAGAGAGATGATAGATGGATGGAAGGATGGATGGATGGATAACGAAAGAGACCGAATCACAGACACCGAGAGAGAGAGGCCCAGAGACAACCCGGGAGAAACACTTGCACAGTCGGAGAGACAGTGATAGACAAGAGACAGACCGAGAGACGAGAGACACCGGGGAGACGGGGCAGAGAGAGTGACAGAGACGCGGAGAGAAAACCTGGGGAGACCGAGGCGCCCAGCAAGAGGGTCGGGGACCTGGAGACGCGCCGGAACCCGGAGCCGAGCTCCGAGGCGTGGCCCCGCAGCGTCGGACCGCCAGGGGCCCGCGTCCAGAGGTGCGGAAAACCACTGCGCCAGGGACCGAGAGCCCGAAAGCGCTGAGCTGCCCGGGACTGCGGGCCAGGGGAGACAAAGCCCGTGGCAGCGACGGCAACCAGAGGCGCGGCTTGCGCGGCCGAAACCGAGTCGTCGGACGGAGAGACGGCGAAGAGGGCGCGGCGGAGACCGCCGGCGCCGGGCGCGG